AGGGGGGCAGGGGGGGGTTGCAAGGATATGATTAATTCCTTCCTACGTCAAGCTATATTCCTAATAAAATTAAATATAAAAATGAAACCAAAATTAGAAATGAAAGCAGGTATCAGTGTAGCAAAAATTCTTTAATTGCATGTAAACAAAAATAAAGGAAAAAATATAGCCTCATTACATAACACTTAGAACTTACATGAAGTAAGACTTTTTTAGAAATCTGAAAATCAAGCCTAAGGCAGCACAGACTGAAAAATGCCTACAACATATGTAAAACAACAAAAACCCAGAATTCTAAAATTTAGCAGTAACAGGTTAAATACCAACAAAAAAAAATTTTAAAGAATTACTCTATTAAAGTTTATTTATATTCTCTATTAAAGTTTGTTTATTTATCTATCCACTTCAGTTTGAGCAGAAACAGGTGGGCAGGGAGGAGAGAGAAAGTGAGAGAGAGGAGCAAGTCGCCAGGTTTGGGACTCAAACTGCAGTCAGCCATGTCGGAATCCAGCGCCCTTAACCAACATGCCACCTGCCAGCCCTCAGGAGAATTGTTACAGGGCAGTTGGACTTTAAAATGGTTAATGTGTGCACACCAGAGTGAGATGCTCCGTCCTGAAAACAGGAACACAGGATCAAGAGTTCAGCAAAGCCTAAACATGGCTTACAGTTTCCTATTATCTCAGCAGCTGCAAAAACCTTTAGCAAATGCTTGCTGCCCTTCTGGTGCTTTCTTTTTCAATAAATATACAGAATTAAAGATCAGTGCTTGTCTTGTGTGTTTTATCTCGCTCGCATTTTCATAGGTCCTACGCTTTGGCTGTGCTGGATGTGGCAAGTGGCGCCTGAACAGGGACTTGAAGCCCTAGAGACCTGAAGAAGATGGGAATGGAAAGGGCAAAACTTGACTGGGATCTGCAGCTGCATAAATTGCAGTGAATCAAGTATAGTCAAGTCAGGAATACAAATGGGGCAAAGTATTTCACAAGAAAAGCATTATGCTCAAATTTTATAGCAATTGCTTCAAGCTTCTGGCATACTTTAGAAATTGGTTACTAGGCTCAGGTAGGCAAAGGCTTAAAAAAAATGAGAGACAAGGTCATCCTGTTCCAGCTACAGCTTTTACCACTTGGAGTCTTATTTAAAAGGTTTCAGACTTGTAGACTTCCCCCACCCTCCTCTAACAAGAAAACTTGGGTGCTATTAAGGAGGGAAATAAAATCATGACTACTGCTTTTAAGGAAAAACCCACTAGATGAGGAGAGCCATATGTAATATATACATCATGTACAAAGACTGAGCTAAAAACTTTAATATCAGGGTTTTCTAACCCAACTCAGGACCCTATTGGTTTTGCAAAGTGTTTTAAATAACCCTCAAAACCTATGACCCAGTATCTTCAGGTCTGTTTCAGCTAATCCAACTTTTAGCTCCAGGAAACAAGGTAGAAAAATGGTTTAAATTAGCAGATTGGAAAAAATCCTTAATTGATTTTGATAAATGCAAAAATATAAAAACAATGCAGAAAACTTGCAGACCTCCTTTACATTGCTCTGGCTCAAGTTTTTCCTCAGGTTATAAATTGGACAAAAGTAAAACAATCAAAGGCCTGCAATTCTAGGGTTAAAATATGGCAATTTCTCAGCTGTGCAAATTCCCTCTGCTTGCTAATATTCAAGGTCAATTAAAAATTATTTGCTTTCTAACAGAGCCAGAGACATAATAAACATTTAAGGGTTAACCTTTGCAACTTTTTTAAAAAAGAGGAAAAGGTAGGACCAGCAGTTGGTGTAATGGCTATATTGCTGGACTCCCATGTAGTTGACCACAGTTCGAGTCCTGAACCTGGTCGCTTAAACTCATGCCAAGCACGTGTGCGTGTGTGCTCAAGATCCTGAGAGGAGAAAGGAGGAAAATGGATTGCGGCATGGCCATCTCCCATGGGGGTTGATTTCTCGCTTTCTGTCTATCTGTCTTTCTCTTTCTGGTAAGTGTATACACCCTATAGCAAAAACCTCTCCGAAGAAAAAGAGGAAAGGGCAATAGAAAAAAAGCATATAAGATCTTTTGTTTGGGTGTGTATATATGTATGTATACATACATGTTATTTATGTATTGTATGTTGTGTGTCTAAGTGGTAAAAGACCTTGAGGAATTCCATTCAATTGGGTTTATAAAAAGAACACTCATACAAATTAATTTAAATGTTTTTCAAGCCCACATGACTTAAGTCAATAAGCTGACTTCAAATATGATAAAATAAAAAGGTTTAATAAGTGAAGATCTTCACAGTTTTCGACATATAGTTTGTCCAGGGCTTAATGATCAGGCAACATTATTTGTTTTAATGTTATTGGCTTAATGAAACAGCTGGTGTTTACATATTATGTGTTGTATTTTACTTGGTGTATATCTAACAGGAAAATAAATTCATGACTATCTTCTTCAGACTTTAATTTTGGTGTTAACAGACACTGAATGAACCTTTTTTCATCCTTGAAGTGCTTGAGAACATTTCATTTTCTGGAGACAGTTAAGTCAGGCATTTAAGCTTTTCACTATCTTTGACAGGGTTTCCCCAAAATCAAATTCTAAATTAAGTTCTTTGACCTCAAAATAACTTTTGTATGCTTACAGAGGGACCGTGAGACATTCAAAAGAGAGATGTTAAACCAATCAAGCTTATTTTCACATGTTAAATGATGATGAGAAGCATTGTCAAGTTGAGTAATTTTAATCTTCTTTGCATTATATTTGAATATTTTGTATAGATACATTTATGTATGTCCATATTTATATATGTATTATGTTCCAAAATAACTTGAAATTCCTAGGAATCTATTATGTGATTTTTTGTAGGTGTATCACACCTATAAAATCTGTAAAGTGTTAAGTTAAACTAGGGATGTCACTAATACAGTCAAATTTCTTTGTCAGTTGTAAATTCTTATCAAATCTTTAACAATGTTAGATTCTCAGCTTATTCTCCATGTATAATTGCTTTGTCTGATGCCTTTCTAAAAGTTTTTCTTACAAATGTCTATAATTCAAACATGTTACATCTTTAAAAAAAATCCACAAACGAATGGAAAGAGTATGTACTCTTAAAAGTACATGTTTCTGATAATCTAATCATTTAACTGAGTAAAAATTTTCATTGGAGAAACTGAATTAAACAAAACCAAAATTAACCAAAAGCAAAGCAAAAAAAAAAAAAAATGTTTTGACAGAATTGCAGGAGAAATAGTCAATACCAAAACTATGAAACCATATTATGCTAAATAGTCAATACCAAAACTATGAAACCATATAGTACTTCCTGGCCCACTGCCTAAGATTACATGTAAATTATTAAAATCTGTAATTTAAACAAATTCTATGAGATTGTTCTAAGTCCAATTACCTGTGACAATCTATTTAATAAACAATGCTATGCACCTAAATTTAAAAAGGTAAAATTGATATAAAAAGTTGTAAATCCAATATTAAACATAGACTCATAGAGAACCTGGCTACCTGGTTCTTCCTGAGTCCTCCTTATAGCTCTTCTTATTAAATTAACATGCTTGATTAACAAGGAATTTAAATATTTCTACTGTCGGTCTTTAAATTTTACAAAAATAAAAAGTATTGGGTTAGATCTAGTAATAAGATGTTATGTTCTACATCGGGAAAATTTGTTCAACGGTTTTTGTCTAAGAGAGACATCTTCATGAGCTGCTAGTACAAAAGCTTAGGTCACTAAGAATTTTAAATTCTGGTTAATATATGAAACCCTACATGCAAAATTATAAGCTTGGTGGCCTTTTCCAGAGGTATCAGATTCCCCAAGTTGGGAAAAGAAAGAAACAGAGGCTTTGACACTTAATGAACCCTCAAGTAATCCTTAAAATGACAAACAAAAATGTGTTCCTTAAAAATGATAGTTTCTACCTAATTGATTGGAAGGAACAATAATTTTATAAAGACAAATTTATAAAGGAAAGACAAACAAAGTAAAAACAAAACAGTAAGTAGAAAAGAGATGTGGAAAGAAAGTTATGGGTACAAGATGTATTCGTGGTAAAAACAATTTTTCTAAAATGCTTAAAAGGAAAGGTTTTGGTATAGAAGGAATTTAGTATGGTAAAAAAAAAACTTAAGGCAAATTAGCTAGATTATCTCAAAATAAAAGGGAAAGGGGACAAAAACTAAAAGGTCTAAAGCATGTTGTTGAAGGTTTGAGTTAT